AAAGTGCAGAGGTGCGAGGGAGGCCTAGGAAGAAAGGCAGAGGGAGGGGAGAAGGAAAGCGAGCAAAAGCTATCCCACCCTTCCAGGAGGTCGTCACCCCGCGCAAAACAGGGGTTTCTAACCCCTGCCTGGACCGCCTCGGCTTGGAGCTAGGGACCCCCGCTCGACGCTCCCTTGCCACACGCGGCCCCCACCGGGAGGAGCTGGCCAAGAGGGTGAACGAAGCAGGTGACTTTATTCACTGCTTCCCCAATCGGCGAGGTCCCGGGACTCGTTTTCCGCCTGGAGATTAAGATCATTGCTCGCGTAATGAACTTAATGCTTTAGGGTAGAGGTGAGTGTGTCTGCGAGTGGGCAGGGCTAGAAATTACCGACCCGATCGATGGGAGACTGGCTTAAAACTAAATCCCTTTTTTCTAGGGCTTCACCGCCTGGGTTTCCCCGCAGTGGGCTGAGAGCGCAGGATGTCAGAAGGCAGCGCGCCGAGGCGCGACCCGTGGGGCGCCGGGCAAGTCAGAACCGAGACCCTAAAAATGCTTCCCCATCTCCCCACGGAGACCCCCAGGGTAGTATTTTCAGAGCAAAGGCTCTTTAAAGCTCCAGCGTTGGCGAACTGATTGCCCAATACGTTGTTTGTTTTTCCTTTCAGCTCCGCCTAGGGAAGAGAATGTTTCAGACGCCCTGGCGGGCAGAGTGGGAGGAAAAGGGAGCCCTCCCTCTCCCAGCCATCAGCTGTCTCCCTCAGGTCCCCGACCCCTCGACTCTCGCTCATTACTTCATCCCCAAACCCTGGGATTCCCAGCCTCCTGTAGTCTCCGCACCTTGGCCACCCTAAGTGAAACGCGCCGCTAACAGCCAATGGGTAAGGCATGGCATGTGAGACGAGAGTGAGACAAGGAAAAGTGCCCAGCCAGGCAGGGCGCCCCACTACCCTGTTCCACACCATTCTCCATCGGCGTCCAAGCGCCTGCGCGGGAGTTTTGCGGCGTGAAGTGATGTTTTTACTACCTTTTCATGGGCCTGCGGGGATCCGAAAGGCTGGGGAAGGTTTGCAGAGCTTTTAAAGTGACCCTGAGGAGCTCCTGCCTAAGGCGTCCTTAGGTGCTGCCCACGGCTTCCCAGCTGCGGCTCCAGACTCCGGCACTCTCCGCCCAACGCCCTCCCAGTGGGCAGTGCGCGCGTTCCCTGTGCTCTCTAGTCCCCAGGCTCTTGGGGTCGCGCTTCCATGGCCACCATGGGACTCTGGAATCTGGGGCCCGGATGTGGCAGAGTTCTATAGAAAGTCTCTGGGCTGTAACAAAGCACTCCAAGAGGTTCCAAGCAGAGAAGGCCCGGAGCCCCACCCAGGAGGTGCCTCTTCACAACCTCCATCGCAGACCCCTGGTCGCCCCATCTCCAGAGATAGTCAACAGTCCCTTAGACTAGACTCTGAGATGGCAGTGAAGAGAGGGCAGGAGGCTAAGGCAGTCGCCAGCCCAGCGTCCCAGCGCAAGAGCTGTGGTCTGGGGTCAAAGACATGTCCGCCCACACACTGGGCCTAGGCCGGGACCCCACGCATCGCGGGGCCCAGGGGTAGCGTGTCCTGGCTACAGCTCCGCGCAGCGGCCCGCGGGATTTCCTCTCGGGGCACGGAGTCGGGCCCAACCCCAGGACAGGAGCCTCTCCCCTCCCGCTCTGCCTGCAGACTTGGGGGGCACTACACACAGCAACTAACCCCGATCGCAAAGTCGAGCGCGAAGTCTGCACGCCGCGTGGGAGACGCAAGCGGGAGGGGGAGGGCTGGGCTTGTGTTTTTCCTTTTCAGAATCCCTGGACTTCACTGCGAAGTTTGCTGGTAGGCGCCTCTGCTCCGGGGTCGGAGCCTCCCACCACCGCTCCTTCCCCTCCCCTTCTGCCCGCCCCCGCGAGCCGAACCAGCCGCAGCCTCCGCCCGGACGCTGCCGCCCGCTCGGCCCCCTGGCCCGGACCCCGCGCCCTGGTTGCCGCGCCGCCTCCCCGGCCCTGCCCGCAGGCTCGGCTGGGGGCGCTTTTCCCGGGGGCGAAATTCGCCCGCCTGGCTTGCTGCAAGGAGACACCCGCTGCCTCCCGAGGAACTCCTAATACCATCCATACAGCTTTAATGCGTTTATAATTCGATAAGTGATTTCAATTTGAAATTGTTAGTAACTAATTTTATGGGTAATTTTTCCACATCAAATATTTAAGCATCAGATTAAGGGAGCCAGTTCCGACACTGGATAATAAGGGGGTTTCCCCCATTCCCCGCGCCTCCGCCTCCCTCCGTTTCCTACCGAGTCGTTTTTCCAAATCCCCAAAAGATGGCAGTCGAAGCCGACTTTCCTCTTTTCCTGTGGCTCTGCGAAGGGAGGGGGAGAGAGGAGGATGGGGGAGGGCGAGAGTGGTGGGGGGAGAGAGAGAGAGAGAGAGAGAAGAAAAGGGGAGGGAAAAGCTAGACGATGCATGGACTTTCCAGACTAATTCTTTCACAAGTTTCTAATACAAGCAAAAAGCAGTGGTGAATTTCCTGGAAAAGTCCTGGCAGAAACGAAAGCCAAAAAACGTGCCTTGTGGCCTCAGGGTGCGGGATGTGAGAAACTCAGCACATTCAGACGAAACCCTCAATTTACAACAGAAGAGGGAGACCCGGAGGGGAACCTACTGGCTTTGGGGTCTTTCTTTGTATTTTAACATTGTATATAAATACTACACAACTAGGCAACGTGTTTCCTCGAGGACAAGACTCTGCGAATTACATAATGAGGGGAAAGGGGTAGGAGTGGGGAAGGGGAAGGAGTGGGGGCAGACTGCAGTGGGCGGAGGGGAGACTGGGGCGAGCAGCGGATGAATTGCAGACCAGTTGCCAAACTTTTTTTTTTTTTTTTCCCGCTGCTGCTGCTGCGGCTGCCTTTGCTGCTGCCTTTGCTTTGAATGTGGGTAACTAGGAAACAGCAAGCCGTCTGAGAAGACGGAATTTCCAACGTGTAAAATGTTCTTAACGGAACCATTGAGCGAGTGCAATAAGGCGTGAGGGGGAACTAATCTTCCCATTTAAATGTTTGTGGCAATTTTATCTAAATGAATTTTAATGCTAAACGAGGGTAATTCCCCATTTGTAGCGCGTTTACTTCTCTTTCCTGTGCTTCTAAAGCAGTCGAACATCATGCAATGAACAATAACAATAAAAATACTGTCAAGGCATATTATTCATTTTGAATGTGTTATAATTACAGCTGATTAAATATGATAGGGTAAAATATTTTTTAATTTTTTGAAAAAAAATTTAAATAATAATAAAAAGTAGTCTCATTCAGCCAGAGCCAGCCCCCCACCCCACCCCCAAATAAACATAAAAAGCAGGTACAATTCTGTACCCTTGTTTAGAGGAGGGCGTTTTGTTTTTGCCTTTTAAGAAACATCAAAAACACTCTCAGCACCTCTATTATTTGCCTCTTTCGGATAAGTGTCCTCAATAACCTCTGAGCTGGCTCTGAAATTTACAAGAGGAAAAGCTAAAATAGCTTTAAGAGGGAAGGGCATCGAGGCTGGGGAAGAAAGGAACTGCGCAGAGCGGGGCTCTCACCTAAATGGCTCACAGAGGGGGGAACGCAAGGAAACAGCAGTTTATTTTTTCTGATTCCTGGACACTGCTGATCTCGATTCTACAGAGTAACCATATTCCCTAAGTACTCTTCCCTTGTAAACCTCCCTCCCCTAGAGCCTCTCTCTCTCTCTCCCTCTCTCTCATTCTCTCTCTCCCCCTCTACCCTCTCTCCCTCTCCCCACCACACCTCCTCCCTTTTCTTTCCCTCCCCCACCCATCCTGAGCCTCCTCAAGAATAAAGGCTGAAAATAACCAACTCACCCGAGCATGTACTGGGGAGGAGGAAGAAATAGACGGTTAGTTTATAAAGTTTATTATTAATTTTTAAAGTAAATAAATGGTTGTTAACTGCTAGTAACCACCTTTCAAAAGAGCATGATTTCTCATATCTACTATTTAGGTAGAGGAAGAATTGCCACTGGGTCAACAAGGGAGATTTAAACAATCCCATCCATGGGGTGGGGAGGGGTGGAGGTGCTGCCAGAGATGGCTGCAGTAGGCTCAGCCTTGCTCTCTGCGCATCCACGTGTTTAGAAACAAGGCCCCATCAACAAAAGGTGAGAATGCATTGCTGCTCCAGCAGGTGAGCCGGTCAATCACACATCACCTAGTAAAGCCAACCCACAGCTGGTTTCTCTTTTCGAATAGAAAATAGAATTGCTAAGAGCCGGTTTATTGGGTGACTCCGGCCTGAATGTCAGACTTGAGTTTAAGGCGCTCGCTCTTCCGACCCATCCTTTGTTTACAAAGCAATCACTGTTCAAAGGCTTATTTTTTAAAAACGAATTTGCCTTAATTAAAATATTTGTTTATTTTCCTTAGCTTTGGGAAGCACTTTTTATAGCAGCAATTTTATTTAAATAAAATTATAAGCTATTCCAGCTTAAACATATTATTTTGTACCATTTAGCCGGCTGCCATGCAGAAATTTTGTACAGCTGTTCTGGAAAATTGGTTAATAACCAGTTTTATCCAATGAGAACATAGAGCATATTTATAAAAATTAGATTTTGAAGTCTGGTCTCTTCAATTCGTGAAGTTAATTTCCTAATAAACATATACTGCTCATCCTAGGTAACATCCTTAGTAAAAGACTTAACTTTGTACTTAGGTTTGCCATTACGTGCAAGAATAATTTCACTGATATTAGATGAGTAATTCTGTTGCATGTAATTCTGAGTCCAGAGTTAGTTTAGTGCCTTTAGGCCTCAAATTTACTGATATTAGGAGTTGATTAAGTCAGCTTAAAGAAATCAGTGGTTATTATTGAATAACTTACTTTGTGGTTAAAATTGTCAAATAACATATATGGCTTAGGGAGCCAAAATTAATTTTTATATTTACTGCATTAATCTTTAAAAATCTGGGGGGCAGTAAACAAATTTTTCAAGCAGTGGAG